AAGCATTTCTGGAAATGGATGAGCCTGGACCTCCCAACTTCTGGGGTGCCAGCTGCAAGAACTGGGTTTAGTCCTGTCTTCTGCACCTCTGGGGTGGTCCTCTAACAGCCCATGTATTGAAATCTTATTCATGAGAGGAAGGTTTTAGACCCTAGGCATAATCCATGGCAAGCCACAGTGATATGTCAACAGGCAGTGTGCAGCTTAAACCAAATCAAGCACAGAGGTATTTTAATACACTTGTTTCTTTCTGCAGAGAAAGAGTGGGTGTTTGTGTGTGTGTTTGTGCCCTAACAGAAGAGCAAGATACCAGAGGTGACTGCCAGCACTAGTTCAGCCTCTGGGAATTTGGAGGCACCAAACTGTTCCATTGTAATTGTCAGTTTTAAACTTTTGGTTCAAACTTTTAATTTTGGCTTCTTCTGAACTTATAGAAAAGGAAAAAGAAAAAAAAAAAAAGGGGGAATCCCCCAAAACAAACTAGAAAGTAACACTTCCATCTCCAGTAACTGTCAAATTAGGAAGAAACGAAGAACTGGACCCCAAGTTTTTCCTCCCAATTATTGTAAATGGGCACTTAAGGGATTTATAGCAACTGGGTGGCTCTTGGACTGTGTTTCAGGCTTTGAAAGACAAAATCTTGCAGTGTAATTGGCAACCTGAAATTAAATGAAATTATCCTTCTTCTCTTATCCAAGCAAATATTTTAAATTTTTTTTCTCAGCCAGAAATGAAAATGTTTAACTCCTTCTCCGTGGAAATTACACTGTTTTCTTTTGTTGGAGTTTAAGCTGAACAAATGCATTATATTTGGTGCATGATGTAAAGGTTTGAGTTTAGTAGTGTATCTTCACACTTACAGTAGCGTTTCTTTAAAGCTTTTAATCCCTTTTTTATAGAGTATGACTGTAATTTATTTCTTTCTTGTAGCCAGTTCAGTAAATAATTTGATTCCACCTGAGCGTAGCCTTCAGTGGCTATCAATTTCAGTGGTGTCTGAATCAGGATCTAAATTAAATATCTTGTCTATAAAGATTTTGTAATGTGAAAATGGGTTATATTTTTGAAGGGGAGCTTGCAAAACGTACCTTCAAGTGAACACCTGTAACTCTCTGATTGCCTCAGCTAGAGAGTATGTCAAAAGCTGTCCTTGGAGAGCCAAGCAGACCTTGCAGTTTCCTTTCTGCTCTATTTCCGCTGTTTAGAAGCATGATTGCGGTATCTTATTTGAAAATGGAAGAAGTTATTTGCAGAGGAGATCATATCTCTAGTGAAATGTAATGTGAGGGAATGTTGGTGGTTTAATGTTTAAGGATTCATGCATTTACTTTTTATATAGCTTTGGAGCATTCATTGTTTGCTTTTTCCATATAATTTTACATCTTTCTTTTAATGTCAGTAAAGATTTAAGAAGTAATAATGCTGAGTTTACATGGAATGCATTTAGAATTACATGTCCTAGAAAACAGCTACAGATGGTGTGCTGTGACCATATAAGCTCGTTAATAAATACGTTCCTCTGGCATTTTGGAGTTCACAGTATATATAAATAACAGAAAGGGTTATACTAAGAACTTAACAGCTCTGTTTCTTTAACCTCTGCAGTTACATTTTCAGTTAGTGAGAAAAAAATCCATTTCTTTTTCAGTTAGAAGAGGAGCAGACTTCAGTGTCTTATCTCCTAGGGGCCCAAGTCATGAGTGGAGCTGGCTGGACTCTCAATGGAGTTTGGGTTGGACTCAGGACTACTTTTTTGTATGACAGACATTTGTCTTGAACTACAGGGGAGGCAATGGTGTGGAGGGGCTTTTGTTGCACTCATTTGCAGCCAGAACCTAATGTCTGTCATCTTGGCTAGGTTTGGTTATGGGGAAACTGTATGTGTAACTGTGTCGGCAGGTGAGAGGTGGTGGCAGCATCCTGCGCCTAAGAGGTGATGAGGAGGTGAGGCCTGGCTGGAGGCAGTGTGGTCTCCAGATAAGCAAACCTAGCATAGGGTGCTAGCAGTTTGGAAGCAGTGATATTGCTTAAAAGGCTCCATTATAATCCAGTATATACTTGGTCTGGTATACAATGTCTTCTCTGTGACCCCTTCTTTGACAGGTAATGCTCAAAGCATGCTTTAATATATGATCATTAAAGCCTTTCCTGCTTTTTACTCCCTCTTACCACCAGACTGTGTAAAACTCCAGACATTGATTACACTAAGGACCAGATTTATAAATATTTAGAGTTCTTTGCAGTGTGCCTGTGTGAATTAGGATAAGGGAGGTTGTTTTGGTTCCCACAGTGTAATCAGCACTTATTGTTTATGTAGGAATTCTGCATGGCAAATTACATGTGTGTGATTACATGTACATTTAACAACAACTACAGAAGCAATAAACTCTGAACAATCATTACCTACAAACTGACGCTATAAGGAAGAAAAAGTAGTATTCACTGCATACATACCTTTTCTAAACTTGCTTTATTTCATACGGCTTTTTGTCACAGAAGTCCCTCTCAGCATCACTAGTGCTTTCAGTGGGACAAACGGGCACCTTCTCTCTGGAAGCTTCATTATCTAGTACCGAGATTGTTTGGGTTTCGGTTTGGGTTTTTGTTTGTGTACAAACACAATATGGAATTTGCAACAGTGCTTCCCAGACCTCCCTAGAGCACACTTGCAGACTGAAACTGGCAGCACACAGCTGATCTGCCCAAGGTTGCCCATCCCCATCCCAGGAATAGCAGCTGGTCCCATCAAAAAGCCCTTCCCACCCTCCAGCTCCTGTGGGTCTGGCTGCCAGGGGTGGGTGGTGGTGCCCTGCTGCAGCCCCACACGTTTTGGGGCAGAGGGGAGTGGGAGGGCAGCGGCAGTGGTGGGGCTGGTGGCAGCAGGGACGATGCAGTGGTGGCACTGGCGGGGCAGTGTGCTGACGTCAGAGGAGGGTGCAGTCTCCCTCTCCTCTGGGGTGCAGAAGGCAGCACAGGAGCAGCGCTGCTGAGCCAGCCGTCCCCCTCCCACTGCCCTGTGGGAGACGTGCTAGGACAGCACCCCTGCCCCTCATGGCCACTGCTCCTACGAGTTTTCCTCTATTGTGGAGAAACCAGAGCACCTCTAGAAACCTTCATATTTCTCTGGTTTAAAAAAAAAAACAAGGAAACAAACAGAGGGTGGATTACAGAAAAAGAAAACCTAATAATTACAGTGGACGACAAATGGAAAAAAGGAAGGGGATTGAGGGACACTGTACAAAACAAACAAACAAAAAAAGGGAACTGAAGGGACCGTAGGGAAGAAGATCTCCGATAGCACTCAGTACACCCTGGAAGTGCCCACAGAGCTGGTGCATGATGGCCAGGGGTGCATTTCCTAGAAGTATGAATGGACAAGGAAATAAAAATGGGTCCCCTGTCTAGCTTGCCCCCCATAGTGCAGGGGCCATGGACTCCAGTTTTGGCCAGGGCTAGTGGGTGGTGATGAGAAAGCCCCAGGTCCTGGTGTGGTCTTGGCTAAGGAGGATAAAAATAACAAGGTGAGAGGAGAAGTGTACCCAGAGGGACCACAGCATGGCACACATGAAGAAAAAGTGTGGAGCATCACCTCACTGCAAAAAGGACAGAAGCCAGGGATGAACCTGTTTTGAACTATGCCTGACTTGAACCATCGCATGAACTTGTTTGCTGCTTCAGGGTGTGTTTTTCCACTTTATGTCCACAGTGGGCCACACAGTTAGCCCAGGGTGCAAACTGGGCCCATGGGGCTCCTCACCCTCTTCTCAGGGCTGCTTTGTGCCAGGGAAGGACTCTTGGGTAAGGAAGTGGAGCACAAGTGCAGAAAGATATTTCCAAGGTGCCTTTCAGAGCTAGAGGGCTGGGTGATGCATAAACCTTACTGTGGAGAGGTGGCTGGAGAAGCTCGGGAGCAGCGGATTGAGTGATGCAGTGCGCACCTCTGGCCATCACTGTGTTGTTGTGTATGCTGATGAAAAGCAATTGTATCCAAAAAATGCCAAGAGACCTGGGGTGAGTAGACTTTGAAGGAATAAAGGGCAGCTCCTTACAACAGCTTTAGATTTGTCCCACAGTCTTTCTTTTTCTCTTTGGCTGCCATTTGTGCCTCATTTGTTATGTGATCTGTAAAAATAGGAGTAAATTTAATTCTGCTACTTTTTCTAGATTGAATTTTCTTTCTAATGAAGGGTTTAAATGTGTTAGCTCAAATACAGTCCTGCTGCACTCTAATGAAGACGGTGAAGTTGAGCAGTGGAGCAACTGGCCCTACTGCAACTGGCTGTGCTGCAACTGAAATAGCATCTTCTTTGTATTCTTCCTAAAAAGTGTGACAGAAAGACACCTTTGATGAGACACATACTTGATTAACCAGGTAACAAAGTTATTTTTTGTTAGTGTCATGAATCCTTTCCTATATTTTAATAACAAACAAGTTTGAAAATTTAAATTCATACTGAAATACCTAAATGCAGTGCCTGAGATGCTTAGAATCTATCCTATAGATTTGAACAGCTAAACTATTTGATCCTTTTTGTTTATTTGTTTTATTTCTTTATTTGCTTTAATTTTGGAAGATTGCAATCTGTATTTTTAAAAGTGTAAAGAGACTCAAAAACATTTTGTGCCATTTTAGTATCTATGTGCTGACATCTGACTACAATTGATGACAAAAGCCATTCTGGCTCAGTTTGCATTCCTACTGTCTCCTACTTTTGGGGGGACTCAGGAAATATTTTGAAGACATTCAAAAGTGAAAAGGTGCCCTAGTAACTACATTAGGATTTTTCATCAGTAAAAATGCTCTTAATAAAA